AGGCAGACAGGAATGTTGGGGGCCATCCCTAAACCCTAAAACCTAAAACTAAAGCCTAAAACCTAAAACCTAAACCCTAAAACCTAAACCTGGAGCTCAGGGTTGGAGGTTTGTGGGGTGAGTCTCCTTGTGGAGCTCCGTCTCGGAGACCGTAAGCCCCGTCCGATAAAGCAGCACCTGCTTGAAGGCCTGGGGCCCAGATAGTTCTAGGGTTTAGGGTTTAGGGTTTTAGGGTTTAGGATTTAGGGTTTAGGGTTCAGGGCTTACTGTAGGGTTTAGGGTTTTAGGGTTTCGGGTTTAGGGTTTTGGGTTTTAGGGCTTAGGGCTCAGAGCTGCGCTGATAGCTCCGCTCCCACCCCGCCTCATAGAAAGATACCGTCGGCTTTTCCATTCGGCTCGGGCACTGACAAGACGTGCTACACTTGATTGGGTTCTGCCTCGCCAGAATCTAAGATTGACAAAGCGGAAGTATCTATGCACCCACAGACCTCAACACGATAGGATTGATCGGGATCTGCAATCTCTACCGACAAGTTGAGCCATGAAAAAAACAGGGCCCAGAGATGAGGCTCGACCAGCGATTCCTACCGACCCACTCTTATCCCTCCCCCTTGCTGACAAGAAGTCTGAAATTCAAGAAGTTTTCTTATCATCACGTTCACCAGTTTTTCGACGAATGATCTGTTTCCGGAAAACTGCTTTCTGTTACTTGGTAAGCAAGCCAATTCTTCTTGTACAGTGACACGATGATGTAACTATGCTTCATATGCAGTTATACATTATAACTACCTTAGAGTTATAGCATTCTTGGACAATCCGAGAGGATTAAGCATATACTTAAGCCTCAACCCTAAACCATGAACAAAATTCCAGAAGGAGCCCCTCGCCCTATTTTGAGCTATGGCACTTGGATAGATACGAGTATTGGGAATAAGATGGTTCTCCTAAGATTGTAGTTCTATCTTTGGGGGGTGGGCGGTGCCGTTAGCCGAAAATAGGCGAGGATGGTTCTAACTGCTTCCCCCCTCGGCCGCTGCATTCGTACGGTGCGAGCTTTCGAAACGGCGAATTGCCGACAGCAGCCAGGGGCGGCTCAAGCCGGGCAATCACTGTCACTAGGCCGATGGTCTTGATTGAGTTCTCCTTGATCGCCCAGCAGCCAACCTGGTTGTATCGCTGTCGTTCAAGTGGCCGAAATCTACGACGTGGGCTTTTCGGAACCTTGTACATGGGCATCTTCCGTTCCATCTGTACAACTTTTAACTTTGACCCTTTTCCTGTTCTTTCCGTGCAGAGGGCTTCCCTCTTTTGGAACACGAAGCAGCGAGGCCCACGCGGGCTCCAGACCGGACTTTGTGGTGTACTGCGTGGTGCTGAGTGGAACTGTTCCCTGGGAAACGCACGCAGGGCTGGCTGTCACTCCTGTGAAAGTCACCAATCGAGATCCGCGCTACCACATGTGGTGACTTTCGTGCGATTTCGCACTCTGGGCTTGCGCCATTCCACGTGCAGTCATGTCCCAACAGCCCAACAATCATGAGGACAGTGAACCAGCTGTGCAAAGCACAGCTACGTATTCCCAGATTTGCGGCGGACACTGCAATCAAGTGGAAGAAGGGACGGGCACCACGCTATGGCTACACCACCCTATTGGCACAGACATTCGCAGCAGCAGCTTTTCCATCCTGTATTCCTCGCCGTTTACGCGCATTGCTGGCGAGGCGCGCAGGGTGAAACAGAAGCCTGTGGCGTTCATTAACGGGTCGCCCAGTGCCAACAGCATCTCTAAGAGCAGCCAACTCAAAGACTATGCTGGCTATATGGGTAGTTTTCAAAATGAGGGTCCCTTTTTAGGGTCCCTTTTGATAAGGGTGCCGTACTATATTGGGGACCTAAAAAGGGACCCTAATTTAGAGAACTACCCATATGCAACAAGGGCGGGACTGGCACCGGGTCCCGGGCAGAAGGGGAGGCTCTACTCAGCTCCACCCGTACGCTGGCGCTTGCCTGTGACAAATCCGGGGAATGCACGGTTTTAAAGACGCCCGCGCCCAAAGAAGCTGCCAAGCTATCTAGAGAGTTCTGCACTACAAGCTTCCATGGCCACTTTGCTCAAACGGGGAACGATTCAGGAAGCAAGTCGCCCCCTGCAATCTGTATGGGCCTTTCTTGTCGCCCTTGTCCCCCTTGCCTCTCCTTCCAGCGGCTGCTATATCGACCAGATGCAGTGGTCTCCCGGAAAATACGCTATTGCGGGCCTCTTCCCTTTGTTGATCTTTTGCTGCATCTTCCGCTGCGCCAACTGGCACGGAGCTGCGATGAAGGGCAGCAGTCACGAGAAATGCCAAACATGCTGCACACGTCAATACACAAGAAACACGAAACGTAGACACAGATGCACGTGGACATGTATACCTACCTACATACGTGTTAAGACAGATAACACCGAGCGAAGGCTAGAGATCCGGCATGCCGTGCCTCTCCAGGCAAAGGTTTGCAACTGCTCATCTGCATGGACATCTGTACATCATGCTGTCTACGCCGATAAAGACCTATAGGTGTCCGGTCCCCGTACTGTAGGTGTTCAAGCGAGCGGCCCCGGGATTCGTGCGGAGGACTGGAGCCTTCCCTGACCCGGGGCCCCAGCATCATGAGCACTGGGCACTCTGCCTCTGCCCCACTAGAAGCCAGAGGGATCGAGAACCAGCCACAATGAAAGACTCATGATGCTGGGAACCATCTGCGAAGCTTCAGAAGCACATCGAAACGAAAGCGTCTGAGACGCCTAGGCCTAGGTTCTGCGGCCTTGCGAAGCGAAGCCTTGCGAAGCCTTGAAGCCAAGCCCCAAAACCCGAAAAACGGCCCGCGGCCCGATCTTGACCCTCGGAAGCTCCGGCCTTGAATCGGCCAGGATTCCTCTTCTGCGCCTGCACTCTGTGAACGCTCTGCAATGTGCTCTGCAATGCTCTCTGCAACGCCCGAAGGCAACTCTAGCAGACTCTAGCAAGCTGCAACGAGAATCCGAAACACGAACGCCCCCAACCGAAGTGTCATCTTTGCATCGCTGGCTCTGGGAATGTTCCGCTTTGACAGAGCCCGCCAGATCTTGTTCGGACAGACTGCAGCCGGTATGTCACGGCATTCCAGCCGTTCTTGGATTTCTGGAGAAGCCGGCTTTGGTGACCGGAGGCCCCTGTACCATCTTCGAAGCGGCTGAGGGCTGCAGCCTCGCCAGTCCGCGAGGAGATGCCAAGGCCAGCTGCAGCCTTCGGCACTTTTTCCCGACAGCTAAAGGAAGGCTCCCAGTCGGGAGCTCATTCTGCAAGCCGCGCGCTGGGCCATGCTCATCTCTCTTGCGAGCAGGTGGAGCAGCGGTGCCGAGAATGCAGATTCGGTGGTAGCGGGGCCTAGGAACTCGTTCTCGTAGTTTGGGACGCACTCGTTCGTGTCAAGCTCGAGAATCTTCTGGGCAGCTTCGCGGGCCAAGCTTGTGGCGATGTTGGCTCTCCGCGCATAGGCGGCCAGCCCCGGAGGAGTGCCGGGCCCAGAGGGACAGCGCCTGGCGTCGCTAACAACGCGACGGACCGAAACGCTGCCGCAGCAAAACTGTACCAGAGGAGACGAAAGCAAACAGGGAAAAATGCGGCAGCGCTGCGCAATCTCGCAGCCCAAATCCTCGTCTTGTGTTGTCTCTTGGCCGCAGAGTTCTTCGCGTCTCCACAAAAGAGCCCCCCCGGAGCTCCTGGCCACAGAAAGGACATGGCGGAGACGCTGGCAAGAGCTTATCAGCTTATCGATAAAAATGACTCCTGAGTCATTTCTGCAAACTTCGCACTTCCCGGTTGACTGCTTCAGTGTGTGATCGTCTCGAGTAGTAGCAGTCGCAGCAGGAGTTCGGAATGCTGAACACTGACAGTGTGATAGTGTTGTTGTGTCGCTTGCGAGCAACGGCCGACCAAAATCGAGATCACCGGACCACAGGTTCAAGCGCTCGAAGGAGTTTCAGTAGATTAGAGTCTTTAGAGGCTCCGGCCGCCCCAGAAACCATGGGACACCCAGGTCTCTTTCAACTCGGCATGCTTTTTGCCGACTTTGAGGAGGCTCGTTCGCTGCTCAGCTGCGCCAGCAGGCGCCGCTTCTGCAAAGTGCTCTCGGCCATCCCCTCCTGGAGCTGCGGGGTTCCCGCAATTAGAGGCTTCAGGGGGAAGGGGCCCTACTTCTTTTCGGACTCCATGTCCATGTCCCTAAACCCTAATCCCTAAACCCTTTATAAACCCCAAACCCCAAACCCTATAAACCCTATAAACCCTAAACATATAGTCAGTTACGTCTTGAGCGGCCTTTCCGCTGCAGAGGCGGGCCAGTGCGTAGAGGCCAGGGTGCACCATGCAGCGGTCGCAGCCCTTCAGCAAAAGGCCCCCGGCCGGGCTGGGACCTTGTGCTGAAGAAGTCCCTTTTTGGGTCTCCTCAGACTTTTGGTTGCGGCCCAGCGGAGATCGCGATCGCGATCGCGAAGTACTTGGAGCCGCTGAGCCTTGTCCGCTTGGGGGCCCCGGAGCCCGGTGCAGCGGCGCCAGGCACCGCGGGCAGCGGGGGCAGCTCGCAACGGTGGGAGTCGCTCTCTTCATGGCGGAGGACAGGGCAAAGCAAAGGAGTCGCTCTCTCTCTCTCTCTTGGGCCCAATTGGCGAGCTGCTTTTCGAGCCGCCTGAAAAAGAAGCGCCCGCCAAGAAACCTAGGCACCCCAAGAATGAAGCCCCCAATAGGCCCCCGCAGCATGGCCACGGAGAAGAGGGGCCTATACCAGGACCCACCGCAGGACCCGCCTTCTTCTGGCCACGGAGATCCGCTTTCATCCTGGCGGCGGTTTCAGAGCCCAGCACGCTTAAGGCGCGCCTTCTGAGGCCTTTCTTCCCTGCCTCCTGTCCACCACCTTCACCTTGGCACCCTTCGGGGCCTCTCGTAACGAGCAGGGACCGGGCGAGGCCGGGCCGGGGGCGGGCCCGGGGCGGGCCGGGGGCGCCTTGCCTTCTTCTTGTCAAGGCGGTGTCCTCCTCCTCCCTTCTTGATGGCCACCGTCGTGACCTTTCGCTGGTCCTGCTTCGCCTCGAACCACTGACGACTTACGACTGCGAAGCATGGATGGAAGGCTAGTGCATGTACTTGCATACTTGTAACACTTTTCACATCGCGTGTGGATCAAGCTGTCTTCCTTGGGTTTTCCGCATCTGGCCCTTTCTCGGTGTTGACGTAAAGGCTGCGGAGTCTTCGACATCATGTGCGCGTTGACGCGACACCCTGAGGAGCCGACGAGCTTGTTCACCGCCTTCCGCATCTGCCGCGCCTGCACTGCAGAAAGCTGCAGAAAGCTGCAGAAAGCTGCAAGCGACCCTATGGCATCATGGGGCAGCGCCTTGGCTGTCTCGCTCATGTCTGTCGTCTCAGACAGAGCCCTGAGCCGGTGAGAGAAGATCCCAGATGCGGTGCCGGTCTGGGGGGAGAGAAAGGCACTCCGAGGGCCCAGGCATGGCCGTGGAGCGCAGCCTCAAACCAAGGACGCGCCGAAGGAGGAGGGCCGAGGGCCGCGAGGTGGGCGAGGTGCCGCGAAAGATGCCGGGCCCAAGGCTTCTCGAGCTTCTTGGCCAGGCGCCGCTTCTTCCGAGCCCGTGCCTAGCGGCGGTCACAGCTCAGCTGCGGCGGAGGCTCCAAACCAAGTCTCCGCAATTGGCCGAGGCTCCTCGGCGACCTTTCGGATGGGCCTGAGAGGTGCACACGGGCGCCACGGGCCGGAGCCACGCTCGCGGTTGTTGTTTCGGGCTTCGGAGTGGCCCTGCCTCGCGTTGATCTCCCGCAGCTTGGCCCGGAACCTCGGTCGGATTTTCCCGGCTAAGCTCCAACGAGTTCTCTCCCAAAGAATCTCTCCCGTAGCTGCGTGGCTGCGCTGCTGCGCGTGCGCTTTGCAGCAGAGCCCTGCAGCCGAGCCCTTTTGGGAGCTTCCGAAAATTAGGGTGCCTTATTTGGGGGTCCTCATGATAGGGATCCTATTGTTTAGGGTACTATATTAGGGTCCCCCTCTTTTCGGAAGCCCCCTTTCTCTTTCCGCTTCCTCTCTCTTTGAGTCCCCGGCTGGGCCATGGCCTCCTTGGAGATCGGCAGCTCCGGCCTTGGAGGAGAGGCCCCGAGCCCCCAAAATTAAAAGTCTTCGTCTAAAAGAGAGAGAGAGAGAGAGAGAGAGAGAGAGCTTCAGCTTCGTCTTCTTCGAAGAAAGGGAGGAAAGGCGCATGCAGGTTCAGGTTCTAGTTCATCTCTTTTCATTTTGTTTGTTTGGTGCTTTTTGTTGCGGCTTCGGGGCTTGTTGTACTTCTCCTCCTCCTCGGAGAACCAGACGGGCAAGGCCTCGTTGGGATCGAAGGTCCAGCCTCGGAGCGGTTTCCGGTCCCAGGGTCGGGGGCCCGGGCCCCGTTTCTCCGAAAGCGATCCCAAAGCGATCCCAAAGCAACCGGTGACCGGGCGATTGTAGGCGGCATCCAGCAGCTCCATCCTCGCAAGAAGGCGAGGAAGGGAGCGTTTCAGAAAGCGAGGTCTCAGCATCAGAGAGCTCTCTGCCGGCCTGGACTTCTTGGACTCCACGAGCAGGGAGCCCAGCGCCATGGTCTCGGCCTCTTTTTAGAGCCGCTTACAAGACCCTTCCGCGCCTCTGATCTCCGTATAGTGCTGGGTCCCTGGCGAGCTCCCGCGGGTCCGAGGGCTTGGTCGGGCCGGTGGACACGATCCTGGAAACCCACGGAGAAAAAGGACGCGCACACTCTCTTCCGCTCTTCCGCTCTTGGCTCTTCAGCCTGACGAACCCTCAGGGACCGGCGACTTGGGAGCCTCCAGGGGAGCCACCTCGAAAGATCCATTGCAACCCCCTTATGTGGGCCCTTATAGCCTTCATCTGTCCCCCATTAAGCGCGGCTTCGCTTCCTGCCTCCAGGCTGCCCTTCTCCTCCTCCTTCTGCTTGCTCTTGGGCTTGATCCCAAGCCTCGCCATACAGGACAGAGAAGAAAGGGGAATTCTAACTTCTTCTGGAAACATCTCGGAGGAAGCGGCTTTTCCAGGCGCTCCATGTCCTTCTTCCGCTTGATCTTGCGCTTCTCCTGACCGCGGGAGAGAAAAGCCGTGTGTCTCACTTGGCACTGCCTAGCTCAAGCTCCGATCTATCCCAGCTTCTTCTGGCCCTTGCCTTGTCGGTCAACGGCCTGGAGAAGATGGCTGAAGCTTTCAGGAGTTGACACAGCGAGCAATAAGCGGGGGGGCAGCGGAAGCGCAGCGCTCTCTCTGGCCGAGCGGCAGCTTCGGGAGCTGCGCATCGCTGAGCTCGCGCATCTGACGAAACCAAGGGAGCGGAGAGCGCGAGGCGGAGCGGCGGAGCGATGCTAGAGCGATGAGAGACCCCGAGAGAGAGCGGAGCGAGCGCCCCTCTCTGCCCGGCTCGGCCCTCCGCGCCTGGCCGCCTTCGCCCTCGGAGCCCGAGCCCGCCTCCTGGCGCGCGGAAAAACCCAGGCGTGCTCTCTCTCTCGCCCTCTCTCTCCTCTCCTGGCTGCGGCCAGAATCAAGCAAGGCGCCCATTTCTTTTAAAGAGAGCGCTCGGCGACACAAGGCTGCTCGTGAGGTTTGGGGTCTCGGCGTGCGCGCGCGTTGGCTGCTTGGTGAGCCGCGCGGCGCGGCGCTGTGTTCTGAGTATCGGCCAAGGCTCTGCGGTCTGCGAGCTGGAGACGACCACTTCCGGCCGTCCCCGTGTCACAGCTCCCGACTCAAGGCCACCCGCTCGCAGAATCTCTAGATGAGCTATAGCGATCCAAGCGGCGGGTCTGTAAAGTGACAATCTAAGTCACGAAGCAAAGACTAAGACTAAGACAACTAAGACAACTGATGTGGGTACTTGTGCCGGTTAAACGCGCAACCATGGGATCTTGGTGCCCATGCAACAAAGCGACCCGTGCCAGGCGATGCAGAGCATCGCTTGCCAACAGGGCTCGGCCCTCCTTTTCGGGCTGAGAGAAAAGAGAAAGATGTGCGAATGAGAGGTGTGGCCACTGCCGAGGAACTCGGTCTCATCGCGCCTTCCTAGTATCTCACTACGGCTCTGAGGTGTATGTCGTTTCTGGCAGGGCCGGAAAGCTGTTTGCACGCCACCTTCGGTGGCTAGCTCAGGCGAAGGAGTTCCTCCTTCTGCCGCAATTTGAGACCAAAGCGTGTAGAAAGTTAGGGAAACAGGACTTCTTCCAGGCGACCCAGGCGATCCAAGCGGCGGGCTGCGCTCAGACGCTGGCAGGTGAAGCCGGTCAGGACCAAGCTGGCCTGAATCCCCTCTGGACGAATCCAGACTTCACATCTGCCCAAGCTGTACTCCACCCCGACGCAAGCAGCTTGCTGGGTGCACTCGTACTGACAATCGCCCAGGTTCAGCACACCTGGAACTACCACGTAGTTCTCGGGAGCATTGTCGGCGACGGAGGCCCCACGGCAAGCGCGGTCTACTCCACCGTCCACAGGCTCGAAGAGAGGGGAGAGGTTCCGCGTGCTGGTCGTGGTGGTCGTCGTGACAGTTGCTCCGTAGCTGAGGCACGTGAAACCCGCCAGCTGAATGGAGGCTCCAATGCCAGCTGCTCTTGTCCAGACTTCGCAGCGGGAGCCGCTGTGCTCGATGCCAACGCAGGCCTCAGAGCGGATGCACTCATCTTGGCAGGCCGACAGAGAAGTTATGCCGGAGACCACTGTGTAGTAACTGGGAAGGTTGTCACCCGGCGCCTGCCCACGGCAGGCACGGTTCTCACCCCCATCGACTGGAAGGAAGACCTTCTCATTCCTCTCTGTCGTAGTCGTCGTAGTCGTCGTGGTAGTCTCACTTGTGGCTGTGGTGGAGGGCTTGTCCAGCAGCCGGTGGCTGCAGAGCATGCTGTTCATGCACTGCCACAAAACCGTTCTGGTGTATGCAGTACAGGAGTCCAGGCTGGCGTCTCGTCTCCAGCAAACCGGCCCCTGGAACTGAATCTGACTTCCAGGCGTGGCAGACGCAGCCGAGCAGAAGCCTCCCAGCAAGGCCTGCCAGGTCCAAATGTGCAAAATCTGACTTCCGTGGCCCTGGAGCGTTTCACCGGGCATGGATCCCCCCAGTGCAAAGATGTCCACAGATCGGAAGGTGGCAGAACGCAGCGGTCGCATGGCCTCAACGACCTCGCTGTTGTAACCTTGGAACATCGCCATCAATGTGGGGCCGGGATCACTCCAAGAGTTCGTGGCGATGGCACATCCCCGATGTCCGGCACGACCCCCCGATGCGCAGAAAGGCGTCATTCGATCCAGCACGGCCCCCATCTCCGCCACGAACATGGACTTCACCATATCCTCCTCCATGTCTATGAGGTTGCTGCGCGGGCATCCTGTGAACTTGATGCCATTGCAGACCACGTACCAAGCCACCACCTGCACGACCATCGCCACATCAGCGCCGGCCCAAGCTTGATCGCCTTCGACGAGATCTACCGCTGTGCCGGTCCTTGCCCAGAAGAAGGACAGGAACATGGTGACGCGGACCCTTCTGCCATTAGGCTCTGGAGCCTCCTGCAAGGCGTTGGCATAAATGCGCTTGCACTCGGTCTCGTTCTGGCCACCTGTCGGAGTGCTCTGGATGCAGGAGGCTTCTGAGGATCGCACCGTTCGATAATGGATGATCTGGCCATCTTCCAGCACCGCATCCAGAAGATGCGCACCCCCGAAGCGGCCGCTTCGCTGGACATCCGCCTCTGCTGGTGCAAGCAGCATCAAGAGTGTGTTGAAGATCAAGAGGGCGTTGGAGGAGCCGGTGACCACCACCCAGGTCCCAGCGAGGCAGTTGGCGATCTCGGGGCTTTCCCAGACGCGGAATCGGCATCCTGCATCCAGCTCCAAGTTTCCATCCAATGCCAAGCTACCCGACATGGGAGGTTCTGCCACCTTCATGTCGCAGAAGACTGGTGATGGCAATGGAGCTAGAGTTGTTGGAGCTAGAGTAGCTAGAGTTGTTGTCGTGGTGGTTTGCAATGTCACCTGAGCAACTGCAACACTCGTCCCGGCGAATTCTGGCAGGACCACTTCTGACAGCGCTTCCCCACCTTTCCTGCCAATGAGTGCGTAAGAGCTCCTGAAAGCGACGTCCTCGATCTTTTGGGCTCCGCAGCTGGCGATCAGGGCCTTCGCCGCAGGACTCAGCTGTGCGGAGCCCTCATCGACGATCGCCATCAAAATGAGGTTTCCTGGCGTCACAGAGGCCAGGAAGCCTTCCAAGCGGCTGGAGCTGAGGTAGGTGTCGAAGGTTTCAGCATGCTTCACCAGGTCATCTTCCAGCTCAAGAACTGTGAGGCCACGGGTGCCAGTACCGAAGAGCAGCACTCCACTCATCCAGAACTCTGCCCAGTTTCCATCGGAGAAAGCCGAGCTGCGCACGACCAGGGCGCCCTTCCCTTCCTCCACCGCCTCACAGCAGGCGGAGGAGGCTCCGGGCGCCTCCAGCCTGCCTGTCCGGAGCACCAGGTCAGCCGGGCAGTTGAACATCTTGCAAGCCGGGAGTGCAGCACAGGGCAGACACTCCTGGAAGCAGACGTGCACTTCCAGCGCTGCGTCTTCCACCAAGACGGCGCGGTTCATGTTGCCGCTGGCAGCCTCGCTGCAGCTCGATGGCACGGCTTCTGCCTTGTCCCAGGAGTTGCCGTTGATGAACTTGAACTCGTAGGAGCCAGGAGCCAAGTCGAGCGTCACCTCGTAGATCCCATCCATATCACCATCTGCGAGACTTGTCGTCGCCGGGTCCCAGCCTTGAAAGCTCCCAGCAAGATGTGGCCCCACGGAAGCCACGGCCTCACCGAAGCCAACCTTGAAGGTCACCGGGGCCGCAAGGGCCAGGGCCCCAATGCAGTGCAAGGCGAGCGCCCACAGCCACAGCAGCAGCATCACGCGCGACGCGTCTTCCGCAAAGGCTGTGCAGAGGAAGGCCCTTTTCCCTCGAGCCCAAACACAGGCGCAGGCGCATATGCGTGTGCGCGTGCGCAACCTGGCAGTGCGGCAGTTCCAAACGCCCCCTCTGCTCCAAGAGTCGCAACTTCGTCTCCCTTCCCGCTCGCCCCGAGCGCCTCCAGGTCCAAGTCAGTTCCTGCAGAGGGCATGACGATATGACGATGGCGCGAGAGGAGCCAGGGCCCTATCCGGCCATCCCCGGCCCTGGCCCCGGCCCTGGGGGCCCTTCTCCGCTCGCTCCGCTTGGCGCTCCTCGAGGCCGCGGAGCGGGCGCGCTGAGGCCCGAGAAGATCTCCTGGCCTGGGCGCGCGACTGAACTTAAAAGAGGACTTCAAGAGGGCAAAAAAGCGGGGGTAGTAGGACGGGATGACTCCGCTCTTCTCTCTTTCACTCTCCCTGCTCTCTGTGACTCTTCTTGGCTCTCAGGTGCCAACTGAACCAACGGAAGGCCCGGTGCTCGCCGCGAGAGACCTCCTCGTCGTCCACGGGGACCTGATATCTGGGATCACCGCGCTCAGACTCAGCACTCACCGCGCTCCAGCGAGGGCAGGACGAGGGCGGTTTCGTTGGCCCCGTCTCCGTCTTCCAGCGCTAGGTCGCGGCCTTGCGAGCGCTCGCGGCCCTGCGCCGGACGGCAAGGTGCATCCCGTCAAAGGTCTTGCTTTGCAGTGATCGTCGGTCCTTCTGAAGCTTCTCCTTGGCGTCCTTCCCGCGAGGAGCGGCTCCTGCCATCTCCGGCCGGAGAACACGCGTCGCACTGCGACGTTTTGGGAGAGCGTCTGAGAGAGTGGTGCCTCGAAGGCCTTCCACCGGAGGGTCGCTGGCCGCCTCCTCCACACGATCTGGGCCTCCACTCTACGACTCTACTTTAGAGTCCCCTCTTACTGTAAAGACCAGAGCTGAAAGAAGCAAGCGCCGCGCCCTCTGCAAGGGCCGCAAGGGCATCGGCATCCAAGCCTCGTCTCAAAAGTCACAGAAAAGGCTCTCAGAGCCCAGCGGTGTCATCAGGGCATCAGGGCCCCCCGACCCTCTGCGTCGCTGTCCTCCGCCTTCTCCAGCTTCGCTTGAAAGTCTCGGAGGGCCTTCGTGAATTCCCCAAACACGGCTTGTCCAGGGCGGGGCCCCCCCAAACTGAAACCCCTTGCCTTCAAGTCCTCCTCGCTGTCCGAGCCATCTTCCACGGCATCCTGGTCGTTCTCCAGAGCCTGCCGGCAGGGCTCAAAATCGGAGGGACCCTCTCCTAAGAACGCGCGAACTTCAAGAAACTGCTTGCTGCTGTAGTCCTTTCTATCGCTCTTGCTCTTCCCTCGAGCCGCGCCTGGGCCTTGGCCTCGCCCTGCAAGGCTTCGTTGAAGGCCGTGAGCTCACCAGCCCAGGCCTCCCAAGCCAGCCGGAGCTCTGAAAGAGTAGAGTCTAGAATCTTGAGGCTCTCATTTTTCAAAATAGACGGATCACAGAAAGAGTGTGTCTCCTCCGGTCCTCCTGCCTGCATCACGCGCTGCCGTCGAGTCTCCTTCTTCTTTCGCGCGGCCCGCTGCGTGGAGTTGCGATGCCTTCAACGTGCAGTTGGCAGCGAGATCAATAGAGTTGGCAGCAAGAAGAAAACGAAGAAACGGAAGGATGGAACCAAGACTACCAAGGATGAGAACTGTGTCAGGAAAGTCGAAGAGTGATGGTGCTGATGCTGATCATGGTGCTGATGATGGCGCTGGTGGTGGTGGCGATGGCGCTGCTGCTGGCCCGAACAGAACAGAACCGTGAGGGAAGGAGCTCCGAGGCCGGGCGGCTTGTGGGTGAGCTCGGCTTTTCGGAGCTCATGGTCCAAGGCCTCAGAAAAAAGGGCGAAGACGAAAGCGCAATTTTCGAGCTTCTCGAAGTGGGAGCCACGAGCTTTGCAGCTCAGCCAGGGCCAGGACTTTCGCTTGAAGCTGAGCCCTGGGCCAGGTCCACCTCCATCCGCGCCAGCCGGTCCATCCTCAGAGGCTCTGAGGTCGTGCTCTTTCCTCCATCGGCGCTCTGTTGTCGTGCTCTGCACATCCGGAGCCGCACCAGAGAGATAAGAGCATGACCCCAACCCCTCGACGATGAAGCAGCACAAAGTGGGCCCCAAAATTTGAGCAGAATCACAGTGCAGCTTCACAAACAAAAGCACCTCCCCCCAGAGAGGCTCACAGAAAGAACTCCCCGAGCAGAGGCCCCGAGGCCCCTGGCTGGTCGTCGGCTTCGGAGTCGCTGCTCTCTTGGACCTCCTTGGGCTCATCGGAGAGATCCTGAAGAAAAGTTAGAGTAAGTGTTCTGAAGGGGTCCTCAGGGTGGGCCCCATGGGGGGCGGGCTTCTTGTGGGGTTTATGGTTGCTTGGCGGCTCAGAGTCTTTAAGGATTTTCGGTAGGACCGTTTGCAGGGTTCACGGTTTTGCAACGGTTATGGGGCTCAGGAAAGGCACCGAGGAAGCTGCAGGCAGAGGCAGGCTGAGGAACAGATGGACATGGTGGGAACCTCATCGCATCGCTGCAGGGGATGAACTTGCTCGCTGGCTTGAGAATCAAATGCGAAGAGTTGAATGACGGTTGGGAGCTTCGTGCTGCTTTTCTTGGGCGGAGCTGGCGCACACCAGGAGAGCGCGTACTTCGGTGGTTTCCTCCTTATCGCAGAGTCTTTCTCAGTGGGGATCCGATGGATGCACGCGCTCAACCGTCGTTGCTTTGAATGTCGCACTCGGCTCAGGTGTTTTCCGAGTGTGGTTGGGGGGTGACCTGTTCGGTTGAGGGCGATTTCTGCGTCGCTTCGAAGGGGCAGGCCGGTAAAGCGCGCGCCTCGCTGACACAATCCTCGGGGAGCGCCGAGTCCTCCTGCAGAGCCTCCCCAAAAGAGACGGAGAGACGCTCAGACACGCTCTTATGGGCTTGGCAGTTCAGAGGGACTCAGAGTGGAGGGTGCTTCTCTTGGCTTGTTGAAGACTTATTTCAAGCCGGGCACCTGCACGGACCTGTCCGTGACTTTGAAGAGCTCGGAGGCATCGTCGGGGGTCTCGGCGAGATGCGGAAAGGAACACCAGCGCAAAGAAGCCCCCGCAACGAGCCAAGTGCCACGCTCCCCGGCCGGTGGCCAGGCTCATCTTCTTCCGCCACTCCTATAAGCGCCGTGGGGCCGAGCAGCGGTTCACGCGCCTGCCCCTTGGCCGTGGCGGCGCCTGCTTCCGCTGCCGATCCATCATCCTCTTTGCTTCCTTGCCTCTCATGGCACGAATCAGTGGCACGAATCGGCACAACCCAAGCCGCCTAAGCCAACCTAACGACAAGAAGACAGCAGGCCAAGGCCAGGGCGGTCTTCTTTACGGCGCTTGTCGATCTGGTCTTTGAGCTGCTGCTCCAGCCGATCGTCTTCCTCCCCACAGGCGCTGCGGCACAGCCAATTTAGTTACGAATCTATGTTTGCAGTTTGCAGGAAGATGCATGCCCAGACGAGCTCAAGCAGTCCGAGTGCGGACAGGCGCAAACGTCCAGAAGTTGTTTCTAGCAATGGTGCCTCCTCATCCTCAGTGCTAGCCTCGTCCGCAGCTGCGGCTGCACCTGTCGGAGGTCAACTCTCACGAAGCAAACGGTTTAAACACATATGAACTGACACTCCTTCTCCATGTGCAACGGATGAGTCAACGGTGTTGGGCCTTTCAGCTCTGAATCCTCGCCATCGAGGAACTTGGCGATGGCATCGTCCACGTCCGCTGCCAGGCCCCCTAGAGGCAACTTGCGTGTGTCAGCAGATGCCCGGCCCGAAAGCTGGGCGCTCGGCGATCCACGGCCTTCTTGGCTGCAGCCTGCAGGCCACTCGGATTGCTTTTGGAGGAGCCACTCCAAGGCTAAGAGCGCGCGCGCGCGCCTGTGTGGCCTGGACCTTGGCTTTGGCCCGGAGCGCCTGCCACGGGTTTCGGGTTTCGGAAGGATTTCAGACACTCAACCGCTGGCAGAGGAGACACTCGGGGGCCGCGCCAAAGTGCTCGGATCCTCGTTGGCTTTCTTCTCTGCCTTTATAAGCCAAGTGAGAGCGGAGCGCCGTCTTTTTTGGCGACAGAGGCACGGCGCCTCTCGCTCCTTCTTCTCCTGCCTGGAAAGCAGCACGACTGGAGGGAGCGGAGTTTCAAGGAAGCCAGAAGGAGAGAAGAGGAAACTTGCGGAGGGAGAGCGCACAAAGAGCGCCCTCTGGGGCGGCTGGGCTGCCGGGCTCCCGGAGCAGCTTCGCGCGCCACTTCAGGAGCTGCGCCAGATCCCCCTTGCCCAGCACCTCCGTCGCCGACGAGCGCACAGACAGACAGACACCCAAGAGGTGCTTCCGCAGGCCGGGACGGGACCGCCGGGACCGCTTCCGGCCTTGAGGTCGCCGCAGAAGTCCCGGATCTCCTGGGTGGTGAGCCTCTCAGGCGCCGGTCTCCCGCTCCGCTCGGCTCCGCTCTCTGCTCCGGGGCCCGGGCGGATGGCCTCGGAGCGGCTCGGAGCCGGGGGCCTGGCGCCAGAACCGCCACCGCCCTGCGCCCCTTCGCCGTGGCCGCGCGCGCTGCGCTCTGCGCTTCGCGGCCGAGCGGCGTCCAGGTTGAGCTGGTGCGCTTTGATCAGGATCTCGGCCTCGCCACTCGAAGGGTAGCAACTTGTTTTCTAGTATGCCACATACAGACTGGCTCTGTTTCTTGCATGACTTCGCTGCGCTCTTCAGCAGCTTCCAGAAATAGCTTTCCGAGGCAGGCACCGGGTTTTCAGCAGCCACGAACTCGTGTGCTGGAACGATGCGCCGGTCGTCCCCCTGAGGGCTACAACTTGTTGTGGAGGCTGAGTTTGAGCATTGAGGCTTGGGCCTCCTCGTAGCCACCCCGATGCTTCCTGAAAGACACAGAAACCAAAAACAGTTGGGGCCAAGGCTCCTTTAGCTTCGGCTTGGCGATGGAAGCTCCGAGCTCTTCGCCTCTTCAGCTGCTTGAAATACTCCGTGAGCGAGGCACCGGGTTTCTTGACTCCTCAAAAAAACGGCACTTTGTTTCTGAAAAAAGCACCCCCTTTCGGAAGAGCGAAGAGGCCGCGGTTGGTTTCTGCGTCCTTCGTCTTTGGCCAGCGGCTCCAGGTTCTCCATGAAGACCCACCTTAACACCCAACTTGCAAGCTCCAAAAGCACCTCACGCTCCTCTCCTGATCGTTCTTTCCCGCGCTACCGGTACCGCGTTTGGCAGCTCTGGCGTGTTTAAGTCACTCTTGCATCATTTGGTGAGTTAGTGAGTGTCTCCACCGAAGTCGAGCAACATGCCCAACATTTGCATGAGAGGGGGGGGGGCAGTCCGCGGCCAAAACTGCAGCGCGAAAGGCCAACAAAGGCACCAAGGGCCAACCCCATTTAGGCACGTCCGGCACTGCACAGGGTATGCCCCTGGCCCAAACTGCAAGACGAAATAGGTCAAGCTCTTCAACATCGCGAGGCCCCAACTGCAACAAGGAAGGGGTCAAAGCTTGCAGCATCCCAAAGCACACGCAATCGTGTAGACGTTTTTTCTGGCCCGTCTCTTTTGAATGATGCTTACTTTTTGGCCACAGACGCAGTGTCCCCGGCCCACGCCGAGTAACGAAAGAAATCAAGCTTTTCTTCGCTATCCCACAAACACGATGCCACCGGTCTAAGCTGCAACACAAAATTCGAAAGGGTCGGACATTTCAGCATCCCAAGCCACGCGCAGTGTCCCAGCCAAGACAGGAATGCCCCGCGCAAGCTCCGACACCAATTTTGTCAAGCCTTTGCAGCGTCCTAACGCATACCGCAAACTCGACGCCACAATGTTCTGCATCCACATCCCGGAAATTGCAACATGGACCATCCTCATACAGTAGCATGTGTGTTTACCATGCACCTGCTACGCTTACGACGTGGCCACGATGCTCGCTGGCATCAAGCAGTCGAAAGATTGGTTGTACAAGCAGCAATAACCAAAGCAAAAGGTAATAGAAGGAAGCGTCGGTAGAAGCACGAACGAAATGTAGAGCTCGACTTGCAGTTCCATGAAGTAACCTTAATATTTGCACCTGCCGAACTTCAACACGAAGGTGTCAGACCCCAACACACATGCAATGTCCCCGGCCAATCTGCAACGCGAAAGAGGTCCAAAACTCTTCATCGTCCCAAAAGGGGTCGCGTCCTCTTTGCTGTTCACTATCCCTTTCTTCCTGTCTCTGCCGGGTCTCCCGCTTGGTGTCGAAGAAGCGCGGGTCGATTTTGCCCGCCTTGAAGCCTCAGCAGCTCAGCGGCTCAGCGGCTCAGCACCACGGCCCCGTCCTTCGAATCACCCTGGAAGGTGGCCGTCGCGGAAGTTGCGATGTAGAAAAAAGCCCTCCTCATCCATCCGATCCTCTCAAAAATCCTCCTGAAGAGCCCTCCCCTCCCACTACGGCCCCGCGCCGATGCACATCACGAAGATCTCGGCAGAGACGTTCCGCGACGCCGTGGGCTTCGTGGCATCCACCTGCGAAGAACACGCCTCACCCAATACTTTTTGTTGGGGGAGGCCCCAAATTTGGGCCCAAGAGAAAGAGGTCTCTCGCCTTGCTAAAGAGCTGGTTGAAGACCCAAAGCAAGGAGTTGTAGTCGGCCGATCGGAAGACCTCCGCAGGCGGCGATTGCAGAAAGCTCACAAAGCCCCGTCGCTACGCCCAAAGTCGCCTTCGTCACGAAGGTGCCGCCGGCTTTCAGGAAGTCGCCTCCGCGGTTACCGGCTCTCCCTTCTTCGGGAGAGAGAGAAGGAGAGAGAGAGAGAGAGAGAGAGAGAGAGGGGCACAGAGAGCCGCAGCCGAGGCCCTGGCAGGCGAGGCGCAGCGAGTGCAGCGTGAGCCTCAGAGCTTTAAAGAGGCGGAGGAGCAGCGAGGCCCGCTCCCCGACGTCCAGGTCCGAATACGTCCGAGACTCAGACTCCGCTTGGCTGAAGGCATCCTTGGACCAGGTGCTGCCTTGCGAGGGGGGGGGCCGGGGCGGCTTTTGGGGGGTTGTTCGGGGGCTCTCCGAGTGGGCAGCTGGGCCTACGTTGGGCGCTCCGTCGTGGAGGACCACGTCGGCCCTGCCGCCTTTCAGCTCCTTGCGGACCAAGCTCCGGCACCTTGTCCCACGCGGAGATTCGTCCCCAAGCCTCTCAGAAAGCAGGGGGCGCCCCAACCAAGGCCCCGGGCTTCTCCGTGGTGATGTCCGATTGTATGCAGGTCACGCCGGGCATGGGCTTAATGGGAGCCTCGGCCACCCGACAAGTGGGAGCAAGACGACGCTGCTCAACAGGCACGCTGCCGCAGGCAGGGCTCCGCGCCAAGTCGATGGCGATGATCTGCGAACCAACCTGGAGTCGCAGTAAAGAGGCCACCGCTCGCACTTACCATGCCTCTCAGAGTGGCGATGCGGTGCTGGGATCAGAGCAGCTCCCCTCCCCTCCCCTTTTTCTTGGGAGCCGGGCGGGCATGTTCCGCTGCGCTACCTGCGACCAGCCGCCGGGTGCCGCGCAGAGGTCAAGGCAGACCTCAGCTGCTACGAAAGCGCTTTCGGGCCCGGCCCCCCTTTTTCGGGAAAGATCTCGAGCTCCACGCCCGGGACTTGGAGAGGAAGTCGAACTTCTTAGCCTCGTGGAGGAACAAACTCCAGGAAAGGAAGCCGCCCGGGGCATCTTTGATGCTAATCGTGCTAACCGCATCGGTTTAGAAGCCTTTTGTCAGCCCCCCGCCAGCTGGATGAGCTTGAAGGCAGAGCGCGCCCGATAGCCCTGATCCTTGGCCAAGTGGTAGAACCTGGGGGCAGCTCGTGCAGCGGGATCCGCTGAAGTCACTCTTTGTCTTTGCCGTCAGGGCAGCGTCAACACTGCTGAGCTTGGGGCTTATCCAGGCGATCTTTGCCCTTCTTCCTGGGACATTCAGCAGAAATCCACTCGCACGACTGTGCCTCTACGACAAAGACAAGAGGAGCTGTAGAGGAATTTTGCATAAAGATCCTTATCCCTGAACGTCGTTATCGTTCTTTTTTCTTCTTATCGTTTTTCCATGACAATTGCGTTATCATGTTGTCATCGTTTTATTTTCTTCTTATCGTTCTACCATAGAAAACCATCCAAAACCCAACAAGGACATGCCAAGACTAAACCTAAGGGCGCGGGGCGATTAGACGCCTGCGGCCGGCCGACAAAACTCCCCTTGAAGAGCTTGCTCGACCGGCATCCGTATTCATTTTGCATGGCTGGAAGCCCTCTTGTTACGTGGCTCGGAGATGACAGAGTAATACAACCAACAGGCTCTTCCTCCAAGAGTTTCGCCTTGACACCGACCTCCAGTCCTTCTCGTTTTCTCGATCTTCCGTGCTAGGGATACCGACATATATGACGCTGATCATGACATAAAACCTTTGATGTGAAGCCGCCACGGCACCCTGAGATGAAAGTCCCCACGCGCGTCAAAACACTGCAGGATGCGAGCGAGGACTCGGCAGAATCTGCCGTTAGTTAAAGGCGGTTCTCTACTCACCGCATGATGGGGCTAAAGACGAGAGAACCCCCGAGTCCCCGGCGTCTTCTTGTTCGGCATGGTGACAGCTCAGCCAGAAAGGGCTGGCACTTGGCCTCCGCAGAGTCCTGCCCAAGGCCCCAACCCTGGATGGCCCAAAACATCCGAGGCTACACTCAAAACCCCCAATCGCCCTTATAACCCGAAATGCCACCCGCAGAAACCCCGAAACAAAGACTTTCAGACATGAGGCCCAGGCCCAGCAGCCGGAACAGGGCCCCGCCCCTAGCTCTGCGCCATGCGACGGAGACCCGACTATGAACGAGACGAGATGCGGCGTCGCTACGACAATGATCAGCAACTCATGCGTGCAAAGGGTATGGTGATGTTAGTGATGTCAGTGTAGGCTCTTTAGGTTTCGGGTGCAGAGGTGCTGCAGGTGCTCCTGTTGTGGGCTGCTTTTGTTGTCTTCCCAACACTCTCGAGGCAATGCTAAGGCAACGCATGGGGTCCTCTCCCTGATGCAGACCCTTCATGGAGAGCGCGTCTCGCCGCGTGGCTCGCCGCGACTGCTGCTCTGATGCGCTTTTGAAGGCAACGCATGGGCGAAGCCAGTGCAACAGGAACCTGATTGGGAACCCCTGGCTCTATAGGCTTTGTACAGCTCCCAAGGAGGGGTTCCTTGATGAGGTTCCTGCTTCCTTCAGCCGGGGAAACTTCCCCGAAACGCTCCTGGACTCCTAGTCGTCCCGGTCCTAAGCCCCTTCAACGCACCCCGGTGGCCGTAAAACAGCAGACGAGGTGCACACCCGACGATGCCTGAGTTTCAGGCACCGGTGAGACGGTGCCGCGCATGTTCACCCACGTCACAAAGAAAGGGTCTCTTGCTGCATAGTTGGACTACAGTGGGTGACCTGCAGCACATGCGACATGCATCGGCTTGGGCCTCGTCATAGAAACGAGGCCCGGGCCCTTGGACTTTGTGAGTCCGGGGCTGAGATCAATTCCACTACCGAAGCGCCCAAAAGTGCAGGAAACTGCATTCAGTCTGCCCTAAACCATAAACCCTAAACTCTAAACCTTAAACCCTAGAACCTAAACCCTAAACCCTAAACCCTAAACTGCATGCTCCCTGCTCCGGCTCCCTGCCGGCTCTCAGCTCACCAAAGTGGGCCATCACTGCTCGGGCGCTTCTGCAGCGCTTGCCTCCGTGTCGCCTTCTCGCGAGATCGCAGCAGGCAGAGTTGCGAGAAAAGAACGGGGCGGGGCATCTGCTTTCCCTTCTTCAGTTCTCAAGGTTTCTGTTTTTCTCAAAAAGCCCTCAGTCACAAGGTTTCGTCGGACTCTGTTCTGTTCAGTTCTGTTCGGCAGGGGACGGTCGCATGGGGGAGAAGGCAACAAAGCGATGGAGGCCGGACTGCACTCATAAAGAGTATACATACAACTAGCACAAAAAAGAAAGTATCCTCCCCGCTTGAAACGCATGACTTCGTGGTGACAACGGGTCAGGACTGAGATCAAGCCAGGGTTCCCAACAAGATGCCACAAGAAGAAAACAACGCTATGTTTCTTTCTTTCGCCAGGGCTGTGGTGGGGAGTTGCCTCCCCACACAACGCTTTGCTTTGCTTAGGGGTCAAGGCCAGGGTTCTACGCCTGGCCCGCGCCGGGGCGCTCGAGGGGCTCAGCTGTGCAGCGGAGTGTTTGTGTGAAAGCGTCTCTTTTTTTCGCCAGGGCTATGATGCAGGGGGAAACCCCCTACATCGAGTGAAAGCGTCTCTCTACGTGTCAGGTCTCTCTCTCTCTCTCTCTCGCTCTACCAGGCGGGAGCTCTCTCGTCTCTCTCGCACTGGATGGACAGAGGCCCAACCATTCCAAAATTGAGCCTCCTTGCAACCTCAACGCCAAGTTTACTCTGGTTCGCTTGTATCTCTTGTCACCCAAGATTCAGACACGCTGCCACAAAGCTCTGCACCCTCCCCCTCATCCATCCGCCTCCATCCTTGCAAGAGAGCAGCTGCAACACCAGCTTCCTGGAGTCGAAGTAGTCCACGCGGTTCTTCTTGCCTGCGCGGCGGCAATGCGCAAGAAGGACCCAGGCCCAGCCGCAGCTCGAAAAGCTCCGGGGCACCTGGACCACGCTTGACGCCGGGGGGCAAGTAGTAGGCCTCACCATGTCCCAACGCAGAAGCTCCGCACGTCTTGGCACGTCTTGGCACGTCCTACTGCACGTCCTGGCCTGGCGGCCCTTCCCACGAGGCCCGTGCTCGATCTGCCATCCTTCGCACAGCGGCGAGAGCTGAGAGAGCGGCGGAGATCCGGCGAGAGCGCGCGCGCGCCCGTCCTTGAGCCTCCAGCTTCTGCCACAAGGTCTCCCAGGGCAGGGAGGCCAGGTCCTCCACCTAAACCCAAAACTTCCAGGTGGTTCAAGATTCAAGCCCACACCCTGGGAACCTCCCGAATCCTCACAGCCCCCGCTACCAAGAACTCGGAAACCCTGGGCACGCACAGCACCCCAAGCTTCCAGAAAAGGCCCTTAGCTTTAGCAGGCCTGCACCGTGCATTCCGAGTGAAACTACCGCTCATGGACGAGATGACCAAAAAAACGAGAGAACAAAGCTCCGTGAAAGCTCAAAGCCGGGCGGGGGGGGGGGGCTTTTGAGCGTCAGCTGCGAAACCGCTCCCTCGCTCTGGCTCCCTCCGTCCTCGCCATCGCTTCGCTGCGGCGGCACGCTGGCAGCCTTCGAAACTTTCGGCTCCCGGCCTTTCCAGGCAGTCAAAACTCGTACCGAGGGCTGAAAGTTAAACAGAGAGAGAGAGAGAG